GACCCTTTAATACAGTTCCTCATGTTGTGGTGACCCCCAACCATAAAATTATTTTCGTTGCTACTCTATAACTGTAATTTTGCTACTGTTATGAATCGTAATGTAAATATCTTTTTGTTTTCTGATGGTCTTAGGTGACCCCTGTGAAAGGGTCGTTCGACCCCCAAAGGGGTCGCAACCCACAGATTGAGAACCGCTGCTTTAAGTGATGATCTGACAGTTTTCTTGCTTGGTCACTATCTGGCCTGTGTAGCCTTTTACCTCCCAGTGGGAGAGTGAGGTGCTACTAGGAACACTCCTGCTGCAGGCTTTAGGCCTTCACACAGACCTATTAGAGGTTAGCAATGGACCCTGCCCCAGAAAAATGCACTTGGATAGCACACACACACCATTTGTTTGCATATAATCTCAAGGGCGCAACCTAGCTCTCCTGAAGTGTATTCACAGACCACCTAGAAGCCTAAAAAGCCTAGGGTAAGATCCCTTGCCCACTCAGAAAGAGAGCTAATTTCTTTGTATGTGAAAGATTCAAGAAAAATAGACAAATGACACAAAGAAGCAATTCACAGAATACAAATGACCACAATAAGGAGGTGAAAAGATATTCTGTCTCACTAACAAAGAAATTTTTAAAAAATCATGGGATGTTGGGCCCGCCAAGTGGCGTGTTGGTTAAGAGTTGACTTGGGGGCCGGCCGAGTGGCGAGTTGGTTAAAAGCTGGCTTGGGACGCCAGCTCTGAGCAGCAGGGCCCCAGTTCGGATCCCACATGAGGGCCAGTGACACTGCCCTCTACAGCTAAGATGGTGAACAACAGCTCGACCTGGAGCTGGGCTGCCGTGAGTCGCCGGCAACGGCGTAGGCTGCAGCCCCTGCTGCAGTGGGCTGCCATAAGCTACCGTGAGTGGTTGGCAGCCAGCATGAGCTGCCGTGAGCCGCCGTGAGTGACCATCCAATGGCTGGCGAGCAACTGCCTCACCTGGGAAGAGCGCAATGATAATACCAACATGGGCCAGTGAAGTGACATCCTCCACAACTAGACTGAAGAACAAAAGGACAGCAACTTGTCTGTTCCCCTTTTCCGATTCCCCAACGTTGTTCCTCTCCCCCAATTCCCCAATAAAATCTTTAAAAAATCATGGTATGTTATTTTTCATTAGGTCAGATTAGCTCATGTTTAAAAGATTAATGATAGGGTACTGGAAGGGGTATGGAGAAAAAGGCACTCTCATATATACTGGTGGTATACTATCAGTGTACAGTATAACCTTTTGGAAAGACCATGTGACAGTATATATTAAAATTTAAAACACGCTGATCCCGTGGCCCAGCAATCCCACTTCCAGGAATTTATTTTACAAAAATATATGTACAGGAATGTTCAACAGCATCATAAATCAGAAAAATTGGAAACTAACCCAAGCGTCCATTAGTAGGAAACTGGTTAAATAAATTATGGTACATCCATATTATAGAATTATATGGAACTCTTTAATAAGGAGGTAGCTCTCTACAGTTTAAAATAGTAATAAGGTAGATTTCTAAGGACCAGAAGGAAAAGATGTAAAAGATACAATGTTAACTGAAAAAGACAAGTTGTAACAGCATTTCTTGAAAAAACAAAATAACACTGGTGTCTGCATTTTTTTAAATACTGAAGAGATATATTCTGAACTATAAAGGTAGGCTTACAGAATTTTATAGTCCATACTTTATGTTTCCAAAATATTAACTTTTAAAAATAAAAAGGTTTTATAATTTAAAAAAAAAGAAAGAAAATGAACCCTTATGGGCTTAATAGTCTCCCCTAAAGGTTTCTTGGACAACTATGAATTCATTTTGAAAGCTTTCTTAAAGGTCAACACCAAAAAAACAAAGAACCTAATTAAAAAATGGGCAGAGAACATGAAGAGACATTTCTTTAAAGAGGACATATAGATGACCAACAGACATATGAAAAAATACTCAACATCACTAATCATTAGAGAAATGCAAATAAAAACCACAACGAGACACCACCTCACTCCTGTCAGAATCACTCCTATCATCAATAAATCAACAAACCAGTGTTGGCGAGGATGTGGAGAAAAGGGAACCCTCGTGCACTGTTGGTGGGATTGCAGATTGGTGAAGCCACTGTGGAAAACAGTATGAAGGTTCCTCAAAAAATTGAAAATGGAACTACCTTATGACCCAGCAATCCTACTCCTGGGTATCTATCCAAAGAAATCCAAAACATTAATTTGAAAGAAATATATGCACCTCTATGTTCATTGCAGCGCTATTCACAATAGCCAAGACTTGGAAACAACTGAAACGTCCATCGGAAGACGACTGGATAGAGAAACTGTGGTGCATTTATACAATGGAGTATTACTTAGCCATAAAGAAGAATGAAATCTTACCATTTGCAACAACATGGATGGACCTACAGAATATTATGCTAAGTGAAATAAGTCAGACTGAGAAAGACAAATACCATATGACCTCGCTTATATGTGGAATCTAAAGAACAGAATAAACGAGCAAACAAAACAGAAACAGACTCAGAGATATAGGGGAAAAAACTGATGGTTGTTAGATGGGGTGGGGATGGGGAGGAAGGTGAAAGGATTAGAAAGTACAAATTAATAATCACAATATAGTCATGGGGATATGAAATACAGTATGGGGAATATAATAAAAAATGTTGTAAAGATTATGTAAGGTGCCAGATTAGTACTGGCCTTATCGGGGGGATCACTTCATAGACTGTGTAGATGCCTGATCACTGTGCTATACACCTGAAGCAGAATAATTTGAATGTCAACTTTATATATAAATGGGATGTAAACTACAGCTTAGGGAATACAGTCAATGGTATCGTAATAGCGATACACGATGTCAGAGCGGTAGTAGATTGCGGGGGGTTATCACTTTGTGAGGGGTGTAAATGTCTATTATGTTGCTTTGCACACTTGAAACTAATTTTAAAAAAAGTTTTCTTAAAGGGGATTCATGGTATGGTGGATTTTATCTGTTTGTCTTATGCTCTGTTGCAATAAAGCATCTTTCTGCATCTCAGAGCAAAAACTCCTCAAGTTCAAGGACCATCTCTTCCTCATTCTGAAATTCAGAACTGCCATGACGTAGGCATAGAGTGACTAAAATCATGGGGTGATCTGGGTGTTTAATTTTCATTTTGATAACAGAGTTGGTCGTTTTCACACTGTCAAAGAACAAACCAAACCACAATAGTTCACACAACTTTGTGGAATTTTGACAATTCTGATTTCTTACAGTTTCAACATCTGTTTTCTTCTGTGTATTTGAGAAAGGGAGGGGATATATTTGTTTTCTTTAATCGACCTGGTTAAAAAAAAATAAAAATATAAATGCACAAAGTCGATCTTGCTCACACCACCAGGGCAAGGCACCCAGAGTTCCCAGATCTGTGTGTCACCCTCTCCCTGAGTATACCACATATCTGGCCCCATACCATGCCTTTCTCACCTAACACAGACGCCACGGAACAGTGCATTTCCATGGACTCAGACTCAGACAGTTACTCCTTCCCACCAGGGTAAAGTTAACAAGGCAAAGCGTAGGAGAGGTGAATGGAAGAGACACGGGGCCTGGCCTGTGTCTGGTCTGCAGGCAAGGTCACGGAGTTGCCAGCACCTCTTCAAACTCCTTACAAGGCCACCAGCAGTCCCCAAGGCCACCTAAAAGCTTAACAAAGGCCCTTCAACACATGACTCCTGATTCATTAGTAGATGGGGAAATCAGAAACCAGAATGCCCTGAGCTGTCCAAGTGGCTCAGTTGGTTAAGCGCGCGAGCTCTGAGCAACAGGGTCACCGGTTCGATTCCCACATGGGCCAGTGAGTTGCGCTGGAGCTGAGCTGCCAACAGGGGGCAGGACGGCTCAGCTGGTGAGAGCACGTGCTCCTAACAAAAAGGTTGTCGGTTTGACTCCCACATGGGATGGTGGGCAATGCCCACCTACAACTAAGATTGAACACGGCACCTTGAGCTGAGCAGCTGTGAGCTGTTGACAGGCGGCCGGATGGCAACTGGACTTGGAGCTGAATTAGCTGTGCCCTCCACACCTAAGATTGAAGGACAACAACTTGGCTGTTCCCCTTCCCCAATTCCCCAATAAAATCTTTAAAAAAGAAAAAAAAACCAGAGTGCCCTGCAAATAGTGATGGGAGGTACAGTGTCATAAAAACTTTTCCATGGGGAAACTGAGGCAGGCCAGACTTTTCTGGACAGAAATCTCCGTGAAGAGCCTATTATTTTCACTTCTTTCCCAACAGCCAACTCTGAAAGGCACCCTTGCCCGACCGGGAGAGCCTACAGAGCACTCTCTTCTTCTTCCTGAGAACGACTCTTTTTGGCTTTCTTTGACTTCCTTTCCTTCAACCCGGACCTTCCTGCAGCCTCTCTCACCTCAAAAATGAGCACGTTCTCTGGCATTCTGGTACTACCAATAAGGGGGTGCTTGGCAACCCAAGAAAACATCTCCTTCCCCAGGCATTATGAAAACAAAGAAGAGAGGCAGCCTGTGTGCTCCCGTGAGTTTCTCATTCAGCTCTGGACAAAGGCAACGGTTAGGGGTGGGGAGATTCCGATGGAGTTTGTTTTTCAGTTGCACTGTTAGCCAGAGCTGCCATGGAGTAAGAGAAAAGCAAGTGGGTGGCAGCTTTTTTTCTCCCTGCTCTTGTCTTCCCTGGACACCTGGCAAGTGAACTGGCTTCCTCAGCACCTAAGCCAACGTCAGCAGACAGAAGATGGGCCTTCTCTGAGAGCCGGGCTCTGCTACCGGCAGGACCTCCCCAACTTGAGAGGTCACGACTAGCTTTGCTGCCCAGCCGCTTCCCCACCAGCAGCGCTCTAGTGCTTGGGATGTCCAGGCATATGCAGGCAAATGGAAGGCAAGGAAATTGAAGCCAATAAAAGCTGCCTCAAGTTCACAAGGAGATGAATGAACTGAGAACTTAAAGAAATCGATACTTACTGTTAATGAGGTAAAAGTCATGCACATCCCTCCAAAGCCATTCAGAGACAGGGCGATGAAAATGAGCACAGAGAGAGCTGTAAGGAAACAGAAGGCTCATAAACAGGGAACCACAGCTGAGCTTCAGGGATGCCAGGCCCAGTTCCTCGCAGGGAGCAGGCTCCAAACAAATGCAGGCTGAATGAATAACAAGCCATTGGAGGCCAGTGCCGGATACCTGTTGGTCTGGAACAGCCTCTTCCTCACTATCCTTCTTTGGCCCATTTTACGGAGCTTGGGCTCTTACAAAAGGTGCCTCCCCATCCTCCGCCCTATATTAACCTGAGCAGCAAGCAAGAGACCTAAAGAAACTGTTTCACTGAAACCAAAAATACAGGTACCCCCAAATCAGTAGGTGGGCCTGGCTAAGATTTTGGTGAAACCCAAGTCCTATTTTGGTGTTCGTTCTAAAAGTCTTTGAAGCAACAGCTGTACATAAATAGGGTTGGGGACCAGGTAGCTTCTAAAAGTGCTGGCCTGGGCTGCCTTTAAGGGGACACAGCTGATGATTCTGCACACACCCCTGCAGCTGGCCCGGTTCTTGGAACTCATCTCTCAGGTTGGGTAAATGAGGCCATCGGAGACTGGCCTGGCTAGGTGATGAGATGGGAATGTTGCATATCCTGGGAGCTTCTCTCAGATGTCTGTCTGGGGCAATTGTTCTTTTACAGCCACCCATTTGAGATAAGTAACTAGGTGAAGGCCTCACAGGCGTCCCCTCTAACTTGAGCAGTAAGCGCTAGGCCTGGCACAGCTTCCTAGAACAGGTGGGCCTGCGAGCACGTCTAGGCACTCTCTCCCCAGTCCCTGACAAAAGCGTGGAGGAGACGTGTACTCACAGTTGGGGTTATTTGCTCCATATGCAATCAGCAAGCAGGAGACAGCAAAGCAGGCACTAAAAACAAGCAGAAATAATACATTGTTTCTTACTACTGTTATTGTTAATATTGTTGTTATTATTTAGGAATATTTAGTATATTTTAGATACTTTTGGAAAATTTACATGTAATATTTTATTTAACAATTCTAAGGCGTATAATTGGCCCCATTTTACTGATGAGGAAAAATAAGAACTGATTTCTCCAAGGTATCCAATTAGCAGGTGCCTAAGCAGGAATTCAAGCCCGGAAGCCAGATCTGGTAAACACCACACTGCACTGCCCCCTGCCATCCCCAGACTGGAGGGGGCCGAGGCTCTAAAGTGAGAGAAGGCACAAGCCATTCCCCAGGTTCCTATGCCCACTGAGTCATGGGATGGCCAGAACCCCACTAGGCATGGGCGAGATGAGTGGCAACTCCTGAATCCCCTCCATTTGGCTCTGCTCTGGGGACCAAGTTCACTGAAGCAACAAAGAGTGAATGACACTGCTCCCCGACCCATTCCCTTCACAATCACAGGTTTGGCTCACTGCAAACCACTGCCCAATGGGACTGACTTGGGGAGGCTGTGACCTGAGAGGCCAGATGCTGGGTGGACTGACCCTAAGTTTGGCACACCGGACTTGTGCCCAGAGGGTACACAAGATGACCCACATGGGTGCCGGCAGTAGGGGCAATATTAGGTTTTTTATTGTATCATTTTTAATCTCAGCCATTTTAATTTATATTTTTATTTATGTATCACAAAGCACATAAAAAATTAAGAATGGCATCTGTGTATATAATTGATAATTCTATGTGCTTATATTAGAAGTATATTTTCAAAATCTTTTTTTCTGAAGGGGTAGCACGTAAAAACGACTTCTGGAAACCAGTGTTCTTAACGACAAGCAACTCTAGGCCCTCCAAGGCAGGCCAGGGGCCCTGTACCTTTTTAATGCAATATTGGCATATTGCAAGGATCACAGATACCTACTGATTTGGTGGCAAATGGGGTAGAAATTCCATTCTGGGGGGGGGTATTTAAGGAGCTCCACACTACACCTGATAGCAAGCACCAGGATTCCCTACAGTGGGGGAACTCAGCCCAGAGTCCACCTGCCCACCTCCCACCCCGATACTGACCTGCCCAGGAGCCTGAGCTTCCTTGGGCCATACTTGTCCATGACGATGCCCAGGGGCAGGGTGATAGCACTGAGCAGGAAGGAGCCCACGGTGAAGGCCAAGTTTAGCATCTCGTCCTGGGCCTTGCAGCTGAGCCATGTGTTCACTATGCTCACCTCATCAGGGTCTGGCTCTGTGCTGTTGGTGACGTTCTCTGTGTGTACAGAGGGAGGGAAACCTGATCACAGGGTCATGGCAGGGGTTCCCAAAGATTAGAGGGGCAGGTGCACATTCGGTGTCAACTCACTGGGAATGGCAGGGCTGGCTCTGGGCCCACTGTGGGCTCAGGCTACTCCATGGGAGGCTTGCATATACATCTGGTCCAAGCCCCCGGAGACAATAATGCAGAGGTTCTTAACAGTTGTGGGGTCAGAGGCCCTGTGGTAAATCCAATAAATAAAGCTAGGCTCCTGCTCCCCAGAAGATGCACATAAAATCTTACCCACAATTTCAGGAGCTTCATGTGTCCCTTGAAGCACTCATGAGCCCCAGGTTGGGATTCCCATTCTAGAGTCACCTATACCCTAGAAAAGTAGGTCTCAGGACCCAGCCTTGGCTGTGGGGCCTCAGGCTGCCTAGAACCTTCTCAGCAGCTCTGTCCATGGAAACAGGCTGCAGCTAGTATCTAGGAGGCTGACCTTAGACCACTTGGGAAAGGCAAGCTGCTGATCTCACTGTAATGCTCTCCTGGTTCTCCTCCGTCAGCTTGGAGAAGTGTGTGGGCCTCCTTTACTGCCAAGTACATTGGACTTCTTAAACATGCAATCCATATGCCACCTCCTCCTCTCATATTTTCGGAGCATCAACCACTACATACACTGTATTGTAAAACCCCTTGGGAAAGGTTGTTTTTTCTTTCTTCCTTTTTTTTTTTTTTTTAACAGTCCTAACTTATTTGTTTTCACTGGTTGAGGTGCATCTTTCTTATTTTTCTCACTGGGTTCACGATACTTGCTGTCCCCTGAGGTCATGCCTGTTCTGTAATCCTGGCCCTTAATGGCCCTCTCCAAAGTCCACCCAGCACCAAAACAAAAATAGTAAGGAAAAAGTGCTGTGGCAGCTGAGGGCAGGAGGGTGGGGGACAGGCCGGGAACATGGTCGAAGAACTCTCTCCTCTCTGGGACTGCTAGTTAAGAGATGCTGACTAATCCTGCAGAAAGAGGAGTGGCCTCTGATTAGATTTGAGGTAACACTGGGAGAGACAAGGAAATACCTCTCTTCAGATAACTGCTTGCCTCCAGATTGCGGGCCTCTGGCGCCAGGGCTGTAAAGCTGAGGTCTGTTAAGGCCTGCCCAGGCCTCTCAGGGCTGCCCCAAGGTCAAAGAAAAGGATGCACTTTGGGTGAATCATGCCACATACCAACCTCTAACCAGCAAGCCCTGCTGGGGGCATGTTGATTGCAGGTGAGGTGCTGGGACCTGGCCTCTGGGTTCTAATTTTGGTTCCTCCACTTTCTACTTTATGACCTTGGAGACAGTGATTTAATCTTGCTCTTTCTCAGTTTTTTTATCTGTAAAATGGGCATAATCTAACAATACTATCTACCTCCTAGAGTTTTAGGGAAGATAAGAAAATCCAGACAACATTCTCGAGCTCACACAGGCATAGAAAGTGCTCAATATATAATAGCTAAAAGTTGTTAGTATTATTACTATTATTGGAGACTCAAGATGGGGGTAATGGTGCAACTGGCTGGCAGCAGAGCCTGACGCGGAACTGGGAGGAGAGTTCCATAATTGTGTACATGGTAGCATGAATTCGTGTCTAGTCTCCCACCGGGCTGGGGTCCCTGAAGGGCAGGGACTGTGTGCCAGTTACCTGTGTCCCTAGCCCCTCATCCAGATCCCGGTGCACAGCAGGTGTTTACTGAATTAATGAAAACAATGGAATCAGATCACAATGCCAAAAGGGTCGAGAGAGAAGAAAGGAAATAGGACATACAGAGTCAAGTTGAAGATAGAGGGGATTTAAGGAGGTTGTAGACACAATGTTAACCTCCGGAAGCCAGAGAAACAAAACCTAACAAGCCAGATCCCTGCCACACCCCACTACTTCCAGTTTTCCAAGAGAGACCCTACCACACAGGCAGCCAAAATACATGCCAGACAGGGTCACCTGGGCCTAGTCAGATCCACCTCAGAATTGTCACACACACTGCCTTAGCCTGGGCAGTTCTGAGCTGCTCACCCACTGTGGGGCAGCTTCTGGAAAGGCAGAGCCGCTTCACAGGTTGGCACTGGTTTCAAGTGTCAGCTCTGCCAGCAGAAACAGGAACTGGATGTGAAGTGGGATAGCAGGGTCTCCACACAGCAATGGCCATGTCCAGGTTGGTGTGCAGGCAGGAGCAGGAGCAAACCAGCACAGGTGCGACAGAGTAGATGGGTGGAGAGGGTGCTTAAGGGTCCAGGATGGCTGGCTTGGGACACCTGACTGTGGCCATTATTGCACTAGGTGCAGCAGGGTCTGCTGCCGTAAGCAGGGACCATAGCGGGACAGGGCATCAGGAAACGAGGCAGCACTGTGCCTGAGTAGAGGCACCGGGGTGCCCTGCCCACAGATCTCCCAGAAAGGAACCACGGGAGACCCCTAAATCCATGACTGTACTCACCGAGAGAGAAGATAAAATCCTAAGGCAACGCACCCAACAGGGTCTCCCTGATTTGCTCCAAGTGGGGATGGGGCAGAAACATCTGAATTGTTTAGAGACCTGGTAACCCCTATAACTAGACACAGGGCTCATGAGGAGAAAGGTCACAATAAAGGGGAGGGTTATCTGTCCCTCCCATCTTTCATCCTCAAGACACTATACACAGGAACAGGGACCTTACATTTCGGGCCACCAGGCTTCTCTTCTTCAACAAATCCTTGCCAAAGAGGCCACCTGGCCCTCTACCTTCCTGCCTCCAGGCAGTGATGTCTAGCAATAGATGAGCAAGGGTTGGGGGTGTCTGAGTGGCCTCTCATCTGCTTATGGAGCAATACGAGTGTCCTTCACCCCGGGGGAACTAAACCTTTGGGGAGCCCAGAAGCTTTGTTGGCAGTAAAACAGCCCACATGAATAATCACAGATCCAGCGGATGCCCAAACACAGTCACACCCAGGCTGCTCCTCTCCCTCTGCTCCCACTTGGGCCACTGTGAGATGGGACAGACAAACAGACAACCACCCAGGAAGTGTCAAGCCCCCAGGGTGCCCCTCTGCCCCCAGCCTAGAGAGAGCCCAGCCGGCTCTGCATCTTACCTACACCTGTTTATTAAACATATGCCTCTGCAGTGGGCGGCCAGAGTGGCCCAGCCCAGCTGAGGAAGGTGAAACAAGAAGAGAGGCCAGGAGTGGCCACAGTGTGCTGAGAATAGGCGTGAGGCTGCTTAGGAGGAAACCCAGGGGCAGGGAAGAGAGAACAATGCCTGCACTGTTTGGCCCCAGTCACAGAAGACTCATACAAAATCTTTACAGAGAAAGCAGGGGAGAAAAGAGGGTGCTGTGACCCCACTCAGGCTCCCCGGACATCTCCTTGGGTCAAAGAGCGGGCTCCCCCACCCCAGGGAAACAAAAGGAGTGGTGAGCCCCCAGAATAGCTGGCTGGTTGATGCTTGAGGGAGCAAGGGACATCGGGCTGGTGGCCCCTCTAAATTCCTGAGAGCCCCTTTCTGACTGGCTGCTTATTGAGTGCCCTGTTCCTGGGGGGCAGCCCCCTGGACCCCCTGCTAATGGTCTCTGCCCCAGGATCTCCTGTCTCTCTCAAATCCTTAGTCTATCCGGCAACAGGAAGCAGTATCTCAGTGCAGCAGGGGGGATGTAGGTGAGAGGTCAGCCTCAGACACAGAGCAGACTAGAGGCAGGACACAGAAGAGACTAGAGGGCTCTGCTGGGTAGGCAAAGGCCTAGCACCCTAGCTGTGGTAACAGAGTGCCTGTGTGTGCTGTCTGCTGTGTTCAGTGCTATTTGCTTCTGTGCCACACTTAGTCCCCTCCCAACCCCACCCCATATTCCACACTATGATCCCAGGAGTTTCAGAGCAGATAAGCTGCTTGTCCAAGGTCTCACAAACGATACCTGGGGAAACTGGACTTGAATCCAGGCTGTGCTGATGCTGTACTACCTGGGTGAGAGGCATTTCAGAGAGAAAATGCTGAGAATAGAGATGGCATAAGGCTGTCACAGAGTCAGCGGCAATATCAGGTGGCCTTGGGCCGGCCGAGTGGCGCATTGGTTAAGAGCTGGCTTGGGATGCCAGAG